GGGGGGGGGGGTCGAGGGCAGAGAGAGAGAGAGAGAGAGAGAGAGAGAGAGAGAGAGAGTCAGAGACAGAGGCAGAGACCGAGGGAGAGGTTCACAGGGGGGTGAAGCGGAGGTCAAAAACGCCCAAAGTGAGGCCAGCAGCACGGGAGTGCGCCTCTCTCCCCCGTCACGAAAAAGAACAAGCGTAAGAATTGCATCCCTTGCCCCCTTTTGCCCTCACCCCACCCCTCCTCAACATACAACTATCGATTGCACCTATGCACATCGCGTTTCATTTTTCCCAACAACAATAACAATAATCCGTCACCCCGCCCGCCTGGTCCGGTGAATCCCGGCGTGCTCCGTTCCGACCTTGCACTTTTGGGATTCGAGGTCATGGCGTAACGGCAGCGGCTACACGGCTACGAGTACCATACACACACACACACACCGCCCCCCACCTGCTCGTTGAACTCCTCCTGGCTCTTGAACTTGAGCGTGTTCGGGAACTGGTAGAAGAACTCGTTGGAGGCGTGCTCCGCGATCACCACGAACTTGCCCATCGCCAGCGCCTCCGCCACCGTCGTGCACAGCACCTCGCTCTCGCTAGGGTTGACGAAAGTCTTGTACTGGGACAGCTCCGCGTGGTCGGTGGCCGGGTTGAACTCCACCGAGAGGCCCATGACCGCCGCCCTCTCGCGGATCGGGTCGCTGTCGGGACCGGATCCGTACGCGCCGAGAATGATACCGCCGCCATCGCCGCCTGCATCCACCTTGTCGCCAGCTGGGGTCGCGTGAGCCCGGTGGTCCCCGGCAGCAGCCGTCTTCTTTTCGGCTAAGGCAGCGGGAGATGATGCTTCTCTTCCCTCCTCGCCGTCCGGCTGGTTTTGAGCGGCTTGGTAGCCCTCGAGGAGGTCCCAGAGCTTGCCGTACCCCTTCTCCCAGAGCATCTTACCGAGGAAATATGGTCTTGTGTCGAAAAGAGGTTTTTGTTGCCGGTGGGCGTGACATCGACGGCGCGAAAACAAGTACGATGAACGAGGGGGGGGGGGGGGGGGGTTACGAAATCACGGGAAAACCAAGGGCAGCAATGAATAGCCGTTCTTGCAAGCACACCACCGCGACACAGCGCCCTTGACGGTCGCATCAGCGGTCCACAGTTAACTCGGTGGATACCCCCCCAACTTGTCCGAGCACACGGCGCACGGTTAGCGCGTGAGACGCAAAAAAAAATGCAAAGATAATTAATTCGTAGGTGGCTGGACCCGCCCACACAAGCACACAACCATCCCCTCACGAACTAGATTCTAGAGGGTAGAAAGCCTGACCCCAGCAAAGACGCGAGTAAGACAAACTCATACCTATTCCCGGCGGCGAACGGTTCCCCTCGAGCCGCCGCCTTCGCCCGGTCGTCCCCGACGAGGAGAAAGTTCTCGCGGACCCCGTGCACGTTGGTAACCGTCTCCTTCTCCTCCGCGAACTTCTGGAGGGTCGCCGAGAGCTTGATCACCTGACGAAGGAAAGAAAAAAAGTAAAACGCGTTTGATGAGAGATGGATTCGTCACCGAGAGCTTGATGGCCTACAGTAGTCCACAAACGATTGGTAAGAGATGGATTCGATGCCCAGAGCGTGGATCTCCTCACGAAAAAAAAAAAAAAAAAGAAGGGTAATGTGAAAAAAATACCTCAAGTAAATAAGGGTAACGAAGCAGGTAACGCCACGGGGGCCCGTGTAGGAGTGCGGCCAATTTCCTTTCGCTTATTGACGACGACAACAACAACAACAACAAGCCAGACAAGCAGCACACCTTGTCGCAGTAGGCGCGAGCCATGATCTTGTTGAAGGCGCGGGCGAAGGGCGCCTTCACCCTGCCGGAGGCCCAGTGATTCGTATCCGCCAGCGTGTAGTGGACGTAGTTCGTGTGGATCACGCCCACCACGTGGGTGAACTTCTTGCTCCAGTTGACGCCCGTGGCCCTGAACCAGTTGAGGTGCTCGGGCTCCTCCATGATGCACACGTCTGCCTCGTCGTCGGGGATGAGGCGGGTGATATCTCCCATGGGGAAGATGCACCCGGCCACCTGCACGGGGGGGGGGGGGGGGGGGGGGGGGCCCCCGGTTGTTTAAAGGTTCTCCTTTGGGGGGGGATGGGGGGGGGGGGGTTGCCATTTATTTGA